CCGTAGTGTTGGGTCCTCGTTTTGAAGGCACGGTCCCCGCGCTTCTGCAGCATATTTCCCCCCTTCCTCTCTGCGTTCCACCCACCCACTCCAGCGTTTCGCGGCTCCACAGGAAGCTCCACCGGAGGTCCCATTGGGACCGCCCGCATGCGCCAACCACCACTCAGCACAGCCCTTCCTCATTGCGCTTCACCCACCCAGTACAGCGTTTCGTGGCCCCATCGGGAGCTCCACCGAAGGTCCTAGTGGGCCGCCCACATGCGGCAACCACCACCCAGCACAGCCCTTCATCTCTGCGTTTCACCCACCCAGTACAGCGCTTCGTGACCCCATAGGGAGCCCCATAGGGAGCCCCACCCTGTACAGCGCTTCGTGGCCCCATTGGAAGTTCCCACCGAAGGTCCCTGTGGGACCGCCCGCATGCGTCAACCACCACCCAGCACAGCTGTTCCTCCCTGCGTTTCACCCACCAGGTACAGCGCTTCGTGGCCCCATACGGAGCCCCACAGAAGGTCCCAGTGGGACCGCCCACATGCGTCAACCACCACCCAGCACAGCCCTTCCTCCCTGCGTTTCACCCATCGCTTAGGGAGCCTCACCGAAGGTCGCAGTGGGACCGCCCTCGTGCGTCAACTACCACCCAACACAGATGTTTACCTCCCTGGCGGTTCACCCACCCAATACAGAGCCTCGTGGCCCCATAAAGAGCTCCTCCGAAGGTCCTAGTGGGACCGCCCGCATGCGTCAACCACCACGCAGCACATCCGTTCCCCCCTGCGTGTCACCACCCCAGTATAGCGTTTTGTGGCTCCGTAGGGAGGCCCACCGAAGGTCACAGTGGACCCCCCGCATGCGTCAACCACCACCCGGGACAGCCCTTCCTCCCTGCGCTTCACCTACCCAGTATAGCGCTTCGTGGCTCCATAGGAAGGTCCCAAGTGGGACCGCCCTCATGCGTCAACCACCACCCAGCGCCGCCCTTCATATCCTGCGTTTCACCAACCCAGTACAGCGTTTCGTGGCCCCATAGAGAGCTCCACCGAGGGTCCCAGTGGGGGTGCCCGCATGCGTCAACCACCACCCAGCGCAGCGCTTCGTGGCCCCATGGGGGGCTCCACCGAAGGCTCCGGTGGCACCGCCCGCATGCGTCAGCCACCACTCCGTACGCCGCTTCGTGGCCCCATAGGGAGCTCCACCGAATGTCCCAGTGGGACTGTCCGCATGCGTCAGCCACCACGCAGTACAGCGCTTCGTGGCCCCATGGGGAACTTCACCGATGGTCCCGGTGGGGCCACCCGCATGCGTCAGCCAACACCCAGTACAGCTTTTCGTGGCCCCGTAAGGATCTCCACAGGAAGACCCTAGTGGCACTGCCCGCATGCGTCGTCCACCACCACCCAGTGCTGCACTTCGCGGCCCCATTGATTGGGAGTTCCGCCAAGCCCCAGTGGCACCGCCCGCATGCGTCCCCCCTACCCGGTACAGCGTTTCGTGGCCCCGTAGGGAGCTCCAGTGGCCCCGCCCACATGCAACCCCACACCCAGTTCAGCGTTTCGTGGGCCCATATGGAGTTCCACCGAAAGTCCCAATGGCACCGCCCGCATGCGCCCCCCCCCTCCCGTGGCCCCATAGAGGCCCACTTAATGTCCTACAACGTTTCGTGGCCCCGTAGGGAGCTCCACAGAAAAAAACCCAGCGGCACCGCCCGCATGCGTTTCCCCCAACCAGTACAGCGTTTCGTGGCATCATCGGGAGCTCCAGCGAGGGGCACCGCCCGCATGCGTCAGCCACACCCAGTACAGCGTTTTGTGGCCCATGGGGAGGGAGCCCCACCGGAGGCCCCAGTGGCACCGCCCGCATGCGTCTCCCCCACCCATTACGGCACGACCCTCACGCGTTTCGTGGCCCCACAGGGAGCTCTACCGAAAGCGGCACCCACAACGCGTTATTCACAATTGCATATGGTCTGGTTCTTCGCCCGAATAATTTTGACAGGCGTTGCGGGGGGGGAGGCGCATCGGGTTGGCTGCGCATGCTCTGAATTTGGAGGCAGAGTGTGGTTCGTATTGCGCTCTTGTCAAGGACGGTTTGAGGGGCCTCATGAGGTCTTCGTTGCTCCTGGTTCGCTGCGAGTCGCCCGGGGGAAGGGGGTGCATATTAATCGGGAACAGTGATAAACCCCTCCCCGAGCAGGCAATGAAGGATTGTAGCACAGAGAAGACGCAGTCTCGTTAAACGACCTACGCCCGGAGGGCTGGCGGGATTGTCGTATATCGCGGAATGGTGGGTTGATGTATGTTATATATTTACAGATGTGTGTACACAGTACGTCGTATTTGCATGTGTGCATGTATGTATGCGTGTATATATGTATGCTTGTATGCATTGATGCATTTATGTCTGTATATATGTACTCGGGGTTTCTTGAAAAGCGTGGGGGGTACCCCCCCGACGGGGGTAAACCTCGCCTCGTCGTCGCGCTGCGACGGGGGTCGGGGCGCCTTCGGCGCGCGGTGGCTGCCCGCGACGGGGGTCGATGTGGGACTGTCTGCGGTGGTGACGCCCCCCCGACGCTTATTGAGACACTCAGAGTATGTATGTGTGTATGTATGGTCCCATGTGTATGTATATATATATATATATATATATATATGAACGTATGTATGTATGTCTGTAGGTATGCATACATACATGTATGTGTGTACGTAGGCATGTATGTAAACGTATGCATGGGTGTGCATGCATGCATGTATGCATGTGAATACGTATGGATGTAGGTATGGATGCATGCAATTATGTACGGTTGCATGCATGTATATAGGTATGCTTGAGTACATGCCTGCATGCATGGATATATATATATATATATATATGTATGAACATATGTATGTGTGCATACATGCATGCAGATATGTATATATGTACGTACATGGGTATGAATGCGCGTATGTATATACGTAAACATGCGTACATGTGGTTGCATGTATGTATGTATGCATGCACGGTTGCACGTATGTATGCATGTGTGTGCGTGTGTAGTGTTGCATGTATGTACGTACGTGCGTGTGTACGTGTGTATGTTTGTATGTATGCATGCATGCATGCATGCATGCATGCATGTATGTATGTAGTTATGTATGCGTATGGCTGTATGTATGCTCACGTGTATGCATGCATCCATGTGTGTATACATGCACGTCTGCATGCATGTATATCCGTAAGGGCTTCGCCCCCTGCCGCCGGCCCCCTCTCTCGGAGAATGGGCCATGGAAGAGCTAAGTCATGAGGCCTTGGCGCTGTCGTGAAGCAGTATCGAAACTTCATGCGAAGCCGATTCGCAATCAGCAAAACCAACTGATCACAAGAGGGGTTACCACACCTGGCGATTGGTAAGACGTGTATGGTTTACGGGCTTGGTTACCACACCTTGCGATTAAAGGGCCGAGGGAGTTCTCGCAGTTTGGGTTACCACGCCTTGCGATGGATGTGCGTGAAGGGTGGCACCGAATTTCAGAAATGTGGCAAATCCCCTGTGTTTTTGGACCCTGACCCCGCGGATCTGCGTGAGGGGTGGCACCGAATTTCAGAAATGTGGCAAATCCCCTGTGTTTTTGGACCCTGACCCCGCGGATCTGCGTGAGGGGTGGCACCGAATTTCAGAAATGTGGCAAATCCCATGTGTTTTTGGACCCTGACCCCGCGGATCTGCGTGAGGGGTGGCACCGAATTTCAGAAATGTGGCAAATCCCATGTGTTTTTGGACCCTGACCCCGCGGATCTGCGTGAGGGGTGGCACCGAATTTCAGAAATGTGGCAAATCCCATGTGTTTTTGGACCCTGACCCCGCGGATCTGCGTGAGGGGTGGCACCGAATTTCAGAAATGTGGCAAATCCCATGTGTTTTTGGACCCTGACCCCGCGGATCTGCGTGAGGGGTGGCACCGAATTTCAGAAATGTGGCAAATCCCATGTGTTTTTGGACCCTGACCCCGCGGATCTGCGTGAGGGGTGGCACCGAATTTCAGAAATGTGGCAAATCCCATGTGTTTTTGGACCCTGACCCCGCGGATCTGCGTGAGGGGTGGCACCGAATTTCAGAAATGTGGCAAATCCCTGTGTTTTTGGACCCTGACCCCGCGGATCTGCGTGAGGGGTGGCACCGAATTTCAGAAATGTGGCAAATCCCTTGTGTTTTTGGACCCTGACCCCGCGGATCTGCGTGAGGGGTGTCGATTTCGAGCCCCCCCAGCAATTCAGACAACGCGCCCAGGGGACGCTGGAAAATCTTGTTTGGGCCTCCCCCCCCCTCGCGCGGTCAATCAACTAGTTACAGTAACCAGCAAGAAGCAGAACTGTAACACTGGAAACTACAAGCTACAACTGGTACAGGAAACTGCGAACCCGCGCCTACACCCTGGTGGCCCCACAAGGGGGCCGGCGGATATGTATTGATGTCTGAATGCATGCATGCATGCATGCATGCATGCATGCATGTATGTATGTATGTATTTATGTATGTATGTATGTATGTATGTATGTATGTATGTATGTATGTATGTATGTATGTATGTATGTATGTATGTATGTATGTGTGTATGCATGTATGCATGTATGTATGTATGTATGCGTGTGCACATGCATGCATCTATGCATGTATGCGTCAATGCATGAACGAATATGTATGAGTATATGAACGTGTATACAAAATATGTACACCAAGTGGGTTATCAGGCTTCAACTGGTTCTGGCATATATGCCAGCATGCGTACAGGATGAACCACCTTGCCCTGATGCCACGTTCATCCCAGTGAGAACTAGAGAGACGATTGCACTGACACTGCTGCAGAGAATGGTGGAGTTGTGAGCGTAGTATTTTCTGGGATGCGTTGGCGATGGCTCGTGGTCGGGAAGATACCCGGGCAATCAGGCATTGCACGAAACGTGTCCAGTCTTCAATTCATATGGAGTTTGTCGTGGGTTGTTTATGCCGTCCGAATAAGATCAGTGGGCGCTTGGGAGGCAAGCGACCATCCAGACGAGCAAGTTGCCAGAGCTCGTTCGGATGTGCGAGGACGCGACTGGAAAGGGCGGTGGAACAACACATGAGGAACGCGGGCGGGAGACGGCAGAGTATCAGATGCAGTACAATCTTCGGGGGGAACATTGCCGGGGCAAGAGCACAGAAGGAAAATCATGAGGAGCACGACCATGAGGAGCAAAACGCTGATGCGAATGAGAAGCAGCACCGGGATCGTGTGCGGCAGCGGGAACGGCAGTGCGAGCAGACCCGCAGCGGCCTCGATGTTGAGGAGTCGCGTATCCCCACGAGCACAATTCGTTTGCTTTCCCGGTGGTCTCGCCCCTGGAGTGGTTGCACTTCAGCCGCCTGGCACACGGACGCCGCCTGCGCTTCCGCTTGCGGCTGCGACGGAAAAGTATCCCCACGAGCTTATCCAGCAGCGATCCCCAGTCAAAGCTGCATGGCTCAGGGAGGTGCCGGAGGAATACAGAAAGGAGCACAGAAGTTGAAGGCAGGCGGTCACAGAAGTCAGAGCTCGCCCTCAGCCCGGGCCCAGGACTCAACCATGGAAAAACTCCGCGGAGCCTCCACCTTTCCTCGACCTCCTCCTCCCCCTCCCCTTCCCCTCTGCTCCTCCTCATCGTCCACTGCCCCTGGCGCCGATGCGTTTTTTCCCCAACCATCCTGCGGTGTTGGGTCTTCGTTTTGAACTGACAGTCCCCGTGTTCCTCCCCACTCCTCTTCCCCCCCCTCCCTCCCCCTATCCTTGCCTCTGCCCTCCGCATGTCTTCGTCCCCCCCCCCCCACCCCACCAAGCACAGCGTTTCGTGGCCTCGTGGAGAGCTCCACCGATGGCCCCAGAGGCGGTGTCCACATGCGTGACCCCCACCTGGCGCAGCGTTTCGTGGCTCCACAGGGCGCTCCACCTAAGGCCCCAGTGGCTGTGTCCACATGCGTGCCCCCCACCCAGCACAACGTTTCGTGGCCCCATGGGGAGCTCCACCGAAGGCTCCAGTGGAGATGTCCACATGCGCCTTCCCCACCCAGCACAGCGCTTCGTGGCCCCATAGGGAGCTCCACCTAACGCCCCAGTGGAGGTGTCCACATGCGTCCTTCCCACCCAGCACAGCGCTTCGTGGCCCCATGGGGAGCTCCACCTAAGGTTCCACTGGCGGTGTCCACATGCGTTGCCCACACCCAATACATCGCTTCGTGGCCCCATAGGGAGCTCTACCTAACGCCCCCGTGGAGGTGTCCACATGCGTGTCCCCCACCCAGCACAGCGCTTCGTGGCCCCATTGGGAGCTCCTCCTAAGGCTCCGCTGGCGGTGTGCACATGCGTCTTCCCCACCCAGCACAACGCTTCGTGGCTCCATGGGGAGCTCCATATCAGGCTTCAGTGGCGGTGTCCACATGCGTCTTCCACCCAGCACAGCGCTTCGTGGCCCCATGGGGAGCTCCACCTATAGGACCTAAGGCCTCAGTGGCGATGTCCACGTGCGTCAACCACCACCCGGCACGGCGCACCGTGGCCCCATAGGGAGCTCCACCTAAGGTCATGGTGGCGGTGTCCACATGCGTCTCCCCCACCCAGTGCAGCGCTTCGTGGCCCCATAAGGACCTCCATCGAAGACGATACTTATCACTGCGGTATTCACAACTGCATATCTTTCGGTCCTTCGGCAGACAATTTTTGCTGGGCGAGGCCAATCCGCTAAGGAGGGGGGAACCGGGAGTACCAGAAAAAAAGGAGCCTGGAAGCCCAGGAAGCCCAACCAGGACATTTGGGACAAAGCTGCAGAGCACGAAAAATGACACGATGGTTTTCTGGAAGCCTGGGCTGCTGGGCGCCCGCGATCGTGGTCATCCGGATGCCGTGGGCTTCAGATATCGTTGGATTCGTGCATCGCGGGCTTCCAGTGATCGGCCTCCAGATGGAGGGTGCAGCGGGAGTGAGGTGACGCGGGGCGCTGTCGTTTCGAAACGAAGACCCAACACCACAGGATGGGTGGGGAAGAACGAGCTGGGAAGCCCAGGAAGCCCAACCAGGACATATGGAAAACGATGCAGAGCACGAAAAAGGACACGATGGACTTCTGGAAGCCTGGGCTGCTGGGCGCCCATCATCGTGGTCTTCTGGATGTCGTGGGCCCACGACGACGACGACGACGACGACGACGACGACGACGAGCAGTCGAGCAGCCCCGAGCGTTCCCCGTCTGCAGTTTGTTGGCGGCGCTCGTTGTCGTGCTCGGCTACGTCCGTTGCCCTCCATCCCTGTTCCACGTGCTCACTGCCCCGCTCCTCGCATTGTCTGCTTTCTCATGTTTTCGGGTGCTCTGCAAATCCTTTCGGGTTGTCTGGTTCGCCCCTGTAGAACGTCCTGCATCGTGGGTTTCCAGATCTCATGCCTGCAGGGGCACGACCTCTGGAAGTCCATGATGCAGGAATCCCATGATATGTGGAAGCCCACGATGCAGGAATCCCACGGTATCTGGAAGCCCACGGCATCCGGAAGACCACGATCGTGGGCGCCCAGCAGCCCAGGCTTCCAGAAGTTCCTCGTGTCTTGTTTCGTGCTCTGAATCGTTTTCCAGATGTCCTGGTTGGGTTTCCTGGGCTTCCCAGCTCGTTCTTCCCCACCCATCTTGTGGTGTTTGGTCCTCGTTTCGAAGCGACAGCGCCCCGCGTCACCTCACTCCAGCTGCACCCTCCCTCCTCCTCGCATCATCATCATCATCATCATCATCATCATCATCATCATCATCATCATCATCAGCAGCAGCAGCAGCAGCAGCAGCAGCAGCAGCAGCAGCAGCAGCAGCATCAGCATCATCGTCATCATTCGTTTCAGCACACCCCTTACACGTTTCGTGGCCTCATAGGGAGCTCCACCGAATGCCCAACTGTCAGCGTTCGCATGCGGCCACCGCACCCATTTTGGTACACCCCTCACACGTTTCGTGGCCCCATAGGGAGCCCCACCGAAGGTCCAAATGCCAGCGCTCGCATGCGCCCACCGCGCCCATTTTGGCACACCCCTCACACGTTTCGTGGCCCCACAGGGAGCCCCGCCAAAGGCCCAATTGCCAGCGTTCGCATGCGCCCACCGCACACATTTTGGCACCCACCGAAGGTCCACATGCCAGCGTTCGCATGCGCCCACCGCACCCATTTCGACACGCTTCTCGCATTATTCGTGGCCCCCTAGGGAGCCCCACTGGAGGCCCAACTGCAAGCGTTCGCATGCACCCATCGCACCCATTTTGGCACACACACACACACACCCACATGTTTCGTGGCCCCATTGGGAGCCCCACCGAAGGCCCAAGTGCCAGCGTTCGCATGCGCCCACCGCACCCATTGTGGCACACCCCTCACACGTTTCGTGGCCCCACAGGGAGCCCCGCCAAAGGCCCAATTGCCAGCGTTCACGCCCCTCACACGTTTCGTGGCCCCCTTGGGCGCCCCACCGAAGGCCCAAATGCCAGCGTTCGCATGCGCCCACCGCACCCACTTGGGTACACCCTTCACACGCTTCGTGACCCCAAAGGGAGCCCCGCCGATGTCCCACATGCCAGGGTTCGCATGCGCCCACCGCATCCATCTTGGCACGCCCCTCACACGTTTCGTGGCCCCCTAGGGGGCCCCACCGAAGGCCCAAATGCCAGCGTTCGCATGCGCCCACCGCACCCACTTGGGTACACCCTTGACACGCTTCGTCACCCCAAAGGGAGCTGCACCGATGTCCCACATGTCAGGGTTCGCATGCGCCCACCGCACCCATCTTTGCACGCCCCTCACATGTTTCGTGGCCCCATAGGGAGCCCGACCGATGTCCAACATGCCAGCGTTCGCATGCACCCACCGCACCCATTATTGCAACCCCTTTCACCTGTTTGGTAGCCCCATCGGGAGCTCCACCGAATGCGGTGCTTGCAACGACGGCTCTCACACCTGAAGATGGTTGGGTTTTTCGCCAGGATAATTTCTGGTACTTACGGTTCCCCCCCTTCGTTGTTATTGGCCCCGCCCAGAACAACTATCTTGGCGAAGGTCCCAACCATATGTAGTTGTGGGTACCGTAATTGTGAATATCTGTTTCGGTGAAGCTCCCTATTGGGCCACGAAGCGCTGCACTGGGCGGGGGGGAACGCTGTACTGAGTGGGTGGTGTGCCGAATTGGGTTTCCGGGACGCATGTGGACGGTCCCACTGAGGGCTTCGGTGGAGCTCCTTATGGGGCCACGAAGCGCTCTGCTGAGTGAGTGAAAATGCCAAATTGGGTTTCCGGGATGCATGCGGACGGTCCCACTGGGGGCTTCGGTGGAGCCCCCTATGGGGGGCCACGAAACGCTGCACTGCGCGGGTGAAAATGCCAAATTACATTTCCCGGACGCATGCGGACGGTGGCACTGGGGCCTTGGGTGGAGCCCCCATATGGGGCCACGAGACGCTGCACTGGGTGGGTGAAAATGCCAAATGAGGCTTCCGGGGCGCATGCGGACGGGGCCACTGGGGCTTTCGGTGGAGCTCCCTATGGGGCCACGAAACGCTGTACTGGGTGTGCGGGACGCATGCGGACGGTAGCGCTGGGACCTTCGGTGGGGCCCCCTATGGGGCTACGAAGCGCTTTACTGGGCGTGCGGGACGCATGCGGACGGTAGCATTGGGACCTTCGGTGGGGCTCCCTATGGGGCCACGAAGCGCTGTACTGGAGGGGTGAAACGCAGGGAGGAGGGGGAGGAGGGCCACGAAACGCTGTACTGGGTGTGCGGGACGCATGCGGACGGTAGCACTTGGACCTTCGGTCGAGCTCCCTATGGGGCCACGAAACGCTGTACTGGGTGTGCGGGACGCATGCGGACGGTAGCACTAGGACCTTCGGTGGGGCTCCCCATGGGGCCACGAAACGTTGCACTGGGTGAGTGAAACGCAGGGAGGAGGGGGAGGAGGGCCACGAAACGCTGTACTGGGTGTGCGGGACGCATGCGGACGGTAGCACTGGGACCTTCGGTGAAGCTCCCTATGGGGCCACGAAAAGTTGTACTGGATGTGCGGGACGCATGCGGACGGTACACTGGGACCTTCGGTAAGGCTCCCTATGGGGCCACGTAACGCTGTACTGGGTGGGTGAAACGCGGGAGGGGAAGGAGGACCACGAAACGCTGTACTGGGTGTGCGGGACGCAAGCGGACGGTGCACTGGGACTTTCGGTGGAGCTCCCTATGGGGCCACGAAACGCTGCACTGGTTGCGTTGGACGCATGCGGACGGTAGCACTGGGACCTTCGGCCGCGAAACGCTGTACTGGGTGGGTGAAACGCAGGGGGGAGGGGAAGGAGGGCCACGAAACGCTGTACTGGGTGTGGGGGACGCATGCGGACGGTAGCGCTGGGACCTTCGGTGGGGCCCCCTATTGGGCCACGAAATACTGGGTGGGGAGGGGAGGAGGGCCACGAAACGCTGTACTGGGTTTGCGGGACGCATGCGGACGGTAGCACTGGGACCGTAGGTGGGCTCCCTGATATGGGGCCACGAAACGTTGTACTGGGTGGATGAAACGCAGGGAGAAAGGGGAGGAGGGAGGAGGAGGGAGGAGTGGGAGGAGGAAGAGGAGGAGGAGGAGGAGGAGGAGGAGGAGGAGGAGGAGGCGGAGGCGGAGGAGGAGGAGGAGGAGGAGGAGGAGGAGGAGGAGGAGGAGGAGAGGAGAGCGCGGGGCGAAGTCTCTTCAAAACGAGGACCCAACACCACAGGATGGTTGGGAAATCGTTTGGCGAAGGGCCCAACGATATGCACAAGGAGAACGCGGGGCGCTGTCTCTTCAAAACTAGGACCCAACACCACATGATGTATGGGGACAAACATCGGTAGCATTAAGTCGGGCATGTCCCTCTACAGGAGGGATATTCGAGACTAGTCAAAAATAGTTCGGGGCGGACTTCTCGAGTAATCTGGAAAATGCTTGAGTATTGTTGACTGTGCTTATTGTTTCTTCCAACGTCCGCCAGCAGGAGGACATGCCCGACCGAACGTTGGCATTGAAGTGTCCTGGTTCGCGTCTCTGGGATTTCATGGTTCGCCTCACATCCCACGCGATCGCTCCCCCATGCTCATTTTGGCATTGGGGAAGCGGGCCCCGAGGAAAACGGGTCCTGGACCCTGGGGCCTTGCCCCATGACGAGCTCTTCATCCTGAGCCGTTTTCTGACAGTTTCGGGGCCCGTTGAGGTCCCCGGGAGGCCGAAAACGGCGAGGATCCTCAGGACCCGTTTCCCTCGGGACCCGCTTCCCAGAGCACCCATGGTGAAGATTCTAGCATGGATGCCTTTGGCGCGCGCGCTGAGCCATTCCCTCGGTATCGTTTATCCGATCCCCATCCCCATCTCCATATCCTTCCGGACCCCCACCCGATTACACCCCCCAGTTGGGGATACACCCCTCCAAGCCCGAAGGGAACGGCCTATATCCCCATCCAGGGGGTAACTCGGCCAGTGGGGCCCAGGCCACGCCGCTAGGGATGGGGGGGGATCGGTTAAACGATACTCAGTCTGTCCCGTGCGCGGCTCCTTTCTCGGCCGTCCCCTCAGGAGGCGGGAGTCCCCCCTTCCCCCTCCTCTTCCTCCTCCGCCTCCTACGCCTCCTCCGCCTCCTCCTCCTCCGCCTCCTCCTCCTCTTCCTCCTCCTCCTGCCTCGCCTCCTGCTCCTCCTCCCCCCTTCCCCATGGCTGCCTTTGGCGCGCATGGCTGCCTTTGGCGCGCGCGCTGAGCCCTTCCCCTGTCTGTCCCGTGCGCGGCTGCCTTGCTCGGCCGTCCCCTCAAGGAGGCGGGAGTCCGCCACACCCTGCCGACGAGCTTCGGCAAGAGCCAGGCGCAAGCTGCGCGCGTTGCGCTCCGCCCGCCGAGCCGCCGCCTCGTTTTCCAGTCGGGCCTGTCCTCCTGCAGAGGGGGGACTTTGGACGAATAATAACACAGATTCCAAACATACAACAACACATACACCCAAACACCCTCAAATACCCCAAACACATGTTTTTACATACCCCAACAAACTCCAAGCATATTCCAAGCATGCCCCAACATACAAACACATACACCACCAAATATTCCAAACATATCCCAAGCTATTCCAAACATACATACCCCCACATTGTCAACACATATTCCAAAACATCGTCCCCAGACTGTTTTTGACTATTTTTGAACACTCCTCCTGCTGAGGGACTGGCCCGACTCAATCCTCGTTCCCGTGCGTCCTCGCCCTTGCCCTCGTCTCCAGGCCCCCCCGGGTCATTGAAAATCCACGACGGGAGGTGATCCGCTGCTTTCTGCCCCGAGGCTTTCACGGGGCCTCGGGGCCGTCCAGAAACGGCTCCAGAAAGAAAACCGGTCCCAGGGAGTGGGCTCAGACCTCTGAAGTCGACGCTCTGAACAAAGCATGGCGTCGGGGGCTTGGGTCAAGAGGCAGCCCACAACCCTGTCGGAGAGCCGAGAGAAAAGTTGGAGTGCACGAGGCGCGTGGTCAAGAGAGGCTTCCAGACTAGTCCTTCTCCATCCTGGCTCCTCCCTCCTTTACTCCCTCCTCCATCCTTTTTCGCCTCCTCGTCTTCCTGCTGTTGTCCCTCGTCCTCCCCATCATCCTCATCTAGTCAACGGTCAAGACGAGCAACAAATCGTGACAGTCGTGTCCTGATGCCAGTGTCAGCAGACAGCGAAGTTGACAACGCCGCCAAGTCAGAGGCCGCTGCAGGGGCCTCCTGGAGAAACACACAAGGGACAAGCGGGCCACTGTGGAAGTCTTCCTGTTAATTGACACGCGGAGCGACTCAAGCGAGATAACATGTCGACCCATTGATGACGGTACACGATGATGTTTAGCCTTTGTGACTCCGATGCGTTTCTTCCTTATGCCCTTGCTCTTGGCTTGGGCCGATAGGACGGATGGGGGTGCTGGCCCTCCGTCCCCTCGTCGTCTTCTTATTCTTCCTCCTCCCCCTCGTCCTCGTCGCCCTCGTCTTCTTCGTCGTCGTTGCTGTCCGCATGGCCCCCTTGCCCCCATACATAGTAGAACCGAATCCCGAACACAAACCGAATCCATCCATTCTCTGATATGGTATACGATGATGTTTCGCAGGGGGCCTCCTGGAGAAACACACAAGGGGAGCGGGCCACTGTGGAAGCCTTCCTGTGAATTGACACGCGGGCCGACTCAAGCGAGATAAGATGTCTACCCATTGATGATGGTATACCCATTGATGATGGTACTCCAAGTCCCTGGTTAATCATCCTCCGGGTCCGGTTTCTTCAGGCGCCTTTTTTGTAATTGAATCGCTTCGCTCATTCCGCCGGCCCGTGATATGGCATCGCTGGTTTTTGTCTGTGTGTTCGTTGCCCATGTTGCGCTCTTGGGGGCGGGTGTCGTTCGGACGCGTTGCGTGGGGAGTTTTGATGGTGAAGCAGTTCCCTGGGGGTCGTCTCTCGATGGGGCGAAATAGAGTCGTCGTCAAGATGCTTCTTTGGGGGGCCTCTTGGGGTCTGTTGAGAGGCCGTTCGGGGGCGCCTGGGAGACATGTTTGAAGCCTTCTGGGGCTTCTTTTGGGCCTCCTGGGAGTCTCCTGGGGCCTCTTGGCGACATCTTGGGGCCTCTTGGAGGCCTCTTGGGGCCTCTTTGGGACCTCCTGGGCGCCTTCTGGGACGGAGGGCTCCATTTTTGAGTTCTCGGTATCCCTCCTGAGTCCCTCTTGGGCCCGTCTTGGGGCCTCTTGGTCCGTCTTGGGCGGCACTTGGGCCGTCTTGAGGGCTCTCTTGGGTCGTTTCGGCGCCGTCTTGGGAGCTTCGTGGGCCGTCTTGGAGCGGTCTTGGGGGCCTCTTGGGCCGTCTTGGAGCGTCCGGAAGCCGAAAAAGCCAGAACACAAAAAACATCGAACAAACCAATGAAAATCAACGATTTTGGCCTCTTGGGGCTCTCTTCGGAGGCCTCTTGGAAGGCTCTTGGGGCGTCTTGGAGGCCTCTTGGGCTGTCTTGGGGGCCTTTTGGGCCGTCTTGGGGTCATCTTCGGCGTCTTCGAGCGCTCTTTGGGCGTCTCGGGGGCCTCTTGGGCAGTCTTGGGGGCCTCTTGGGGCACTCTGAGCGCGCTCTGGGGAGCCTGAGAGGCCGCACCCAGAAGGAAAACCATCTCTGAGTAGACTTGGTCGGGCGGCGGTCGGGCGGCGGTCGGGCGTTGGTCGGGGTACTTTTCGCCGGGGGACCCCCAGGGGCCGCCCCGCGCGCGCGAACTAGAAATACTGTTAATACTGTTAACCAGTTACCGGAGATCTTAGCACGCCCTGGCCCGTTGGGCCGGCGAATTTGGGGGGGTCTAGTTTATGAGGGCGCTTTTTTTTGATTGGAACTTGTGGGGTCTGGCTTCGGGAGGCGCCCCGCCCAAGAGGGGGGCCCGGAACATCGGGTCGCGCCTGGAGGGGGGTCCGGTTTTTTTAGGTGGGGGGGGGGTCGATTCAGTATGGAGTTTGGAGCACACGATGCTGCTTCGCCCTCCCCTTGCCTCGGCGGAGCGGTGGTCCGCCCGCCCTCTCCACCGGGCGGCGCAGGCGGCACACGGGGCCCCCGGCCAGCGCCGCCCGGGGAGCCAGCGGCAGGGGAGGCTCCCATGGCTCGGCGGGCCCGGTCTGCAGGGCGATGCCGTGGCGAGCTTGCGACGAGAGCGAGGGTCGTTTTCAAAGAACATTCGTCGGGGGTGGACAGAACCCCCAACAGTGACACGTCGATTAGTGAATTGTCCGTTTTCGGATCTCGAGAGGGCGCCGTGGCCGTTATTTTCCAGGCTTGCGCCCGCCAGGTTTGGGCCTCAGGTCGTTTTCACTAAACCACGTTTTACTAAAGGGGGGTCTGTCCATCCCCGAATTCGGAAGCCTTGGGACGGGGGTCAATGCAAACGGTGGTCAGCCAGTGCGCCCGATCTTGCAGGATCCTGCAGGGCCAGGGTCACACTGACCCGGGCTTGGGTGCAGGATCCTGCAGGATCTTGCAGGATCTTTGGCATTGACCCGGGCTTGGGTGCAGGATCTTGCAGGAACTGACCCAGGCACTGACCCGGGTCAGTGCGTCCCCGAGAAATGCAGAAGCCTTGCCAAACACGAGCAGTGGCGAAGCGTCCTGGCTCGCCTACAGGCCCACCACAGAAATAGTTAATTTTTTTGCTGTCTGCACGAAATCTTCCCCAAACAGTGCTTGCACTGAAGGGGTCCTAGCAGAAGTTGAAAGATGAGGCGAAAGTTTCCCGCCGATTTTGGTAGCAGGCTGGGTTCCCGGGTTCCCAGTTCCGGGTTCCCGGGTTCCCTGGTTCTGTTGGTTCCGGGCCGATGGGCTCCCGGGCTCTCAGGTTCCCGGTCGATCTCCTAAGCGAGAACTATCAACTGATGTTTTTTTTTTCTCTGGTATAATTTCGTTAAAGATTTAATGACTTCTGCCGTCCTTCGACTCGCGCGGGAGCGGCTACGAATAGTTTCATTTTTTCATGGAGATCTCTGGGTTTACCTGGATTTACCCAGATGTATTGCGACTTGTTTGGATTCACCTGGATTTACCATGATTTATCCGCATGTATCTGGACTTACCTGGCTCGATCCCCACAAGTTGATTGGCGAAAAGTCCACAAGCCCTTAGGGATTGTTGGCGCAAGTTGAAAGTTCAGCGCCGCCTTTGGTGAGGCTCTCTGTGGTGTTTCGAGCGGCCCGATGTGGTCGAGTCCCACGATCTTCTGTTTGGCTGAGATTGTCCGCCTACCCCCGCCAAGCATGCTGCGGTGATCAGCGTTTTGGCGCTCGCTTTGAGGAAGCTACAGTGGTGACAGCTTGGACACTCAAGAAACAGTTCGAACGTACCGCAGGCTTGGTGGTCGCCGCTAGGGAGAATGACTACAGCGAGGAGTGTGCGAGTGCTCGCCTAGGCTCGTGGGCGTCACAGCTTGAACACGCGTTTCATCGTATTGTCTGGCATGTTAGAGTGCTGACAGCGGTTTCAACTGTCGCGGCCCGAGGGGCTCATGAGCGATCCCTCCTCCCCCCCCCATGTCCCGTCCCTCTTCCATTCTTTCTTGTCTCTGAAAACCACCATCGCACACCCTCGCTCTGCCAAATCACTGCCCTGACCGTGCGTGTCAGCCACAGTGGGCGCTCTTGCGCCCCCCGTGCTTCTCCAGGGTGGGGGCGCCAGGAACTTCCCCCCCCCCAGCCAACGGGGTTGAGGCACCACGAAGCCGCATCACTGCAAGGCCATCCTTCCTCACCCCCACGGCCACGGCATGTTCGCGCCGCGCTGCCACGACGGCAACCCGGCGCGGGCGTGCAAGGCTGAGCGCCGTTGGTGGCCCAGAGTCGGCCGACATAGAACGATGAGTGCTGGCGGAAAGCCAGAGTCATTCAAGATTGAGCGATCCACTGAGTATCAGAAGCCGACGCCGACGTCGTCACGACAAGGACGTGTCGTTCCTCGGGTCAGGGATAGGGTTAAGTCGGGCATGTCCCTCTACAGGAGGAGTTTTCAACAATGGTAAAAGAAGTAGTCTGGTGACGATTTCTCGTGGGCTTTTGATTATGTTTGCATCGTTCTGCAATTTGTCCTTCTCTTCCAAAATCCGCCTGTCGGATGGCCGACCTGAGGATGGGGAGAGGGGGGGTACGAAATCTGCTGCATGCAGCTGCATCGGACCCCGCCGCTGGGAGCCTTGAGTCGATACACTGGCGCCTCCCGGCGCCGGGAGGACCCCCCCTCTCGTCCGACCCCAGGAGGTACCCCCTCCCCAGACACCCCACGATGTGATTTCTTCAATCCGCGCCCCTGAGGTCTCTGAGGCCTTCCCACCCGAGGGCTGCTTCCTCTTCCTCGTCCTCTGCCCGCCCGAGCGCTGCTGTGCCTGCCGGCGTGTGTCGTCGCCTGTGCGAGGAGAGCGCCAGGCCTGTGGATGGCGAGACCAGTGTTGATTCTGACAGCTCTAATTGAGTCAGGAGGGGAAAACACACAGACACAGTTAATCGTCGTTGGCTCCCAGGAAGATATAGGAAAACATGGGAAGTGGGGGGAAGACGAAAACCCAGAAGATATATAGGAAAGTGTGGGGAATCCTGTTGGTTGTGCCTATTTGTTTGTGTGCCCCTGGGCCCCTTCATTGAGGGGGTTGAACTTTTTAGATCATTGATGCCGATGTCAAAAAGTCTCGGCCACTTCACCGGGGGCAATTTTCTCGTGCCCGAGCCGTGCTACAGTCAGAAACCCTAATAAGGACGCGCGACTCTGCTCAGGGTACCCTTGTGTCCTTGCTCTTCCTTGCTCTTGCGTCCTTGAGGTGTTCGTCGTCCGCCGCCCCAAAAATGCCAACTTCGGCTTCCAAGGGTCTCGCGTCCTTAGCGCGCGTCCTTATTAGGGTTTTTGACTGTACTTCTTGAGTGCCCGCTCGAGGATGCCAGGCCCTGCGAGCGCCGAGCATCCGAGGATGTCTCAAAGCGCTTGTGCTGCAGAGGTCGAGCGGCCTGGGCGCCCCACCCGGGTGGTGCCCGGGCGCCCGGGCGCAGCGCAATGTTCTGGGAACGCGGCTCTGGGCCTGCACGAACGAGATGGGCACGGAAAGAGTGGGCGCAGTGCCCAACAGCGCGCGTCCTTCTTCGGGTTTTTGACCGTATGCGGTTCCCAGGGGGACCGCCGGAGGAGGAGGAGGAGGAGGAGGAGGAGGAGGAGGAGGAGGAGGAGCAGGAGGAGGAGGAGGAGGAGAGAGGAGGGAGGAGGAGGAGTCGGGGGCTGCTGGGGCCCTGGGGGGGGCCCCCTGGGCCTCGCGGCGGGTGCCCTGCAGGGGCGCCCTCGAGGGCGCGACGCTCCCCGCGCCCTTCGCGCGCCGCGGTCCTCGCTCCTTTCCCCCCCTCCTCCTCCTCGTCCTCCTCCTCGGCCTCCCTCCTCGTCCTCCTCCTCGTCCTCCTCCTCCTCGTCCTCCTCCTCGTCCTCCTCCTCGTCCTCCTCCTCGTCCTCCTCCTCCTCGTCCTCCTCCTCGTCCTCCTCCTCGTTCCTTCCCCCCCTCCTCCTCGTCCTTCCTTTCTCCCTTTGGGGGGGGGGGGGGGGGCGGCGCGAGAGCGCGAAGTGATTCTCACTTCGCGCAGCGCGGAGCGCGAAGTTGAAAGCCCTAGGTTCAGGCCTCCCAGATGATGTCCGAGTCAATTTAAGTCGGGCGTGTCCCTCTACAGGGGGAAATTTCAAAATCGGCCCACAATAGTCAGGGGACGATGTTTGATTATTGTTGGATATTTGTTGAGCCTAATCCGCCTGTAGGGGGACAGGCCCGCCCCAAGCCTCGTGAGGGGTGCTCTGGTCCAGGCCTCCCAGATGAGGTCCGAGTAGATGGGGTCGGAGGATTGCTCCGCATTGCCGATGCATCGCCGATGCTGCCCGATGTGAAGCCAGATGTCCTCCGCGTCGACGTCGTCGATGCATCGCTGGCGTCGACGATGCATCACCGATACGTTGCCGATACATCGGCAATGCTGTGCAATCCTCCGACCCCACCTACTCGGACCCCATCTAGGAGGCCTCCATCTGGAGGCCGTGGGGGCCTCCTTGGAAATCCTGGGGGCACCTGGGGCCAGAGTTAAGTCGGGCGTGTCCCTCTACAGGGGGATTTTCAACGAAAAATCAAAAATACACCAAACATACCCCCAAATGGCAACAAACATATAGTCAAACAATAGTTCCCAGACTATTTGTGGACTATGTTTTGACCATTTTGGGGGTATGTTTTATTTTTGGTCGAAAATCCCCTTGTAGGGGGACAGGCCCGACTTAAGGCCAGGGGCACTTCTAGCAGCACCCGACCCGGAGGCCGAGATCGAGCAAGGCCGCTGGGATGAAGGCGAGTTTGCCGTCGGAGATCTGAGCCCCAGCCTCGCGCCACGTGAGCGGCGGAAGAATCCGAGGTCAATTGCGCCCGCGTGAGGTTGCGCGTGAGGTCGCGCGGGCAGCCTACGCTTCGCTGGAGTTTACAATTTTGGACGCCCAGAATTCGTTGTTGGGGCACCTTGCCCAGCAGCGCCTCGGCGCGGCGAGGGGCCACGAGGGCGTAGGCTGCCCGCGTGAGGTCGCGCGTGAGGCGCCCTCGGCTCCGATGTTCTGGAGTTGCTTGAAGCGCCGCTGGCCCAAGGTTTCCGTCGGGCGTGTCCCCCTACAGGGGGATCTTCGACGAAAAATAAAAATACCCCAACAATACCTCAAAATGGTAAAACATAGTCAAGAAATAGTCCCCTGACTATCTTTGGAGTATTTTTGTACTATTTGTTTGTTATTTCTATTTTTTGTTGAAAATCCTCCTGCAGGGGGACAGGCCCGACATAACCCAAGGTGCCCCCAGGATTTCCAAGGATGCCCGCCCACGGCGTCCAGAGCACGCCACACGAGGCCAAGAGGGTCCCAGGGGCTCCAAAGTGGAGCGAAAAGCCAGGGGCACCTAGGGCCAGGGGCACTTCCAACAACACCCGATGTGTGGCGTTACGCGCTGGCTGCCCGCGTAAAGCGCGGCGTGAGGTCGTTATGTTGTCTCGCATATTGCCCGCTTCTTCTTGTTGCCCTTCAGGCAAACGGGTCATGGATCTCCAGGCTTCCCCCAGGACGAGTTCTTCATCCTGAGCCGTTTCCTGGCGGTCCCGGGACCCATGGACGGCCCCAGGAGCCCCAAACAATTGCGAGCAACCTCAGGACCCGTTTTCCTCATGACCCCTTCCCCGCATGGCGAACGTGTGCGGGTGCATCAGTGAGGAAGTCTCGAACGGGAGCCTTCGCTTTGATCGGTGGCGACCGAGAGGAGGGGGAGGTGAGAAGGAGGATGCCTCCTCAGAGGGCGGCCGGGCCTCTCAGAAGCCCTCCCGGTCCTTTTGAGAGGTCTCCTGCGCCCTCGGGAAAGGACCAGAAGCCTTCTCAGAAGGCTGGGGCGCTTCCTGCCGCCGCCGCCGCCGTCGTCGTTGTCGTTGTCGCCATCGTCGTCGCCGCCGCCGCCGCCGCCGCCGCCGTCGTCAGCGTCGTCGTCGTCGCTCGCGCGGTTCGCCCTCCCCGCGCGGCCTCTCCCCCCGGGCCCGTAGCAGCGCTTGGCGGAGGAGGACGCGGAGGCCGCCGAGGAGGATGAAGAGTTGCAGCCCGACTTGGAGGCGTCGGCGTCGGCGTCCGAGGCGGCGCCCGCCTCCGCATCCTCCGAGGGTGAGCTGCCTGCCCTGGATGTCATGATCAACCTCCTCCCTCGTCCTCCCTCTTCCTCCTCTTCCTCCTCCTCCTCCTCCTCCCTGCCTCCTCCCTTCCTCTTTCCACCCCCTCCCTTTTCCTCTTTCCTCCCCGTTCCTCCTCCTCCTCCTCCTCCTCCTCCTCCTCCTTTCCATTATCCTCATCATCCTCCTCCTGATGCTCCGTGGCAGTTTTGGCTCAAGTCCGTAGCGGTTCGTTCAGGCTTGGCATTGGCAAGAGGGGTCAGCGGCCCGCACAGTTTTGTGTCTCCACAGGTGCCTGCCCAGGCAGGAGACACGTCTTTCATGTTTAGTATTCCGATATGCAAGCTCCCTGTCCGTCTCTCTGTTCATGAATGGACGCCAGAAGCGCCGTCTCTCGCAGGCGAGCCCGTGGCAGTGCAAGCACAGCACGGACGAGCGGACTGGGCAGCGCTGGTGGAATCGAGCAGACGTCAAGCAATGTCGTTCCTGCGGTCAGGACAAAGGCGTGTGTTCTTTTCGGGCCCAAGTCCACGGGTTCAGGTGCACCCTCCATGTCGGTTGCTGCGGAGCGGCGCTCTGCTTCGGAGGCAGAGAAGCTCAGGAAGGCCGTCGAGTCGAAGGGCCGCGAGCTCAAGTCGATGGCGGCCAAGCTCAAGGAGGCGCAGTCAGCCAAACCCCCTGGTGGAGGCTTTGGTGCTGCCATGGAGGTCGACGAGGGGGCTACCTTTGCGTCCTCGGACAAGGTTGCGCTGGAGCAGGCCACCAAGGCCCTCAAGGCCTTCGGCGACGTGCAGGACCGTGTCCTGCTCGACAGTAAGGCTGCCTTGTTCGCTGCGCAGGCCGGCTTGCGCGAGAAGATCCTGTCGGAGAAGCCGCTCGGGGCGCATTTGCACCAGCTCACCGATCGGTGCACAGCGCTCGAGAAGAAGAAGCAGAAGAAGAAGAAGGAACGGCAGCGGGCCATCGTCGAGCAGCTCGGCGTGGATGCAGCCAACCAACCTCCAGGCCAAGATTGCGGATGCCGAGCGCGCGCCCTTGCCGACGTTTCGCGCGAGCTGGTCGAAGCTGAGGCGGCTAGCCGGAATGGCGCCTCAACCGCCGTCTACATGCGTCCCCCCCACTCAGTACAGCGCTTCGTGGCCCCATAGGGAGCTCCACCGAAGGCCCCAGTGCCACCGCCCACATGCGTCCCCCCCAGTCAGTACAGCGCTTCGTGGCCCCATAGGGAGCTCCACCGAAGGCCCCAGTGCCACCGTCCACATGCGTCCCCCCTTCTCAGTACAGCGCTTCGTGGCCCCATAGGGGGCTCCGCCGAAGGCCCCAGTGCCACCGCCCACATGCGTCCCCTCCAGTCAGTACAGCGCTTCGTGGCCCCATAGGGAGCTCCACCGAAGGCCCCAGTGCCACCGTCCACATGCGTCCCCCCCACTCAGTACAGCGCTTCGTGGCCCCATAGGGAGCTCCACCGAAGGCCCCAGTGCCACCGTCCACATGCGCCCCCTCCATTAGTACAGCGCTTCGTGGCCCCACAGGGAGCTCCACCGAAGGCCCTAGTGCCACCGTCCACATGCGCCCCCCCCTCAGTACAGCGCTTCGTGGCCCCATAGGGAGCCCCACCGAAGGTCACAGTGCTACCGTCCACATGCGCCCCCCCCCCACTCAGTACAGCGCTTCGTGGCCCCATAGGGAGCTCCACCGAAGCCCCCAGTGGGACCGTCCGAGTGCGCCCTGAAACACCCAATTTGGCATTTCCACCCCAGCCATTACAGCGTTTCGTGGCCCCACAGGGAGCTCCACCGAAGGCCCCAGTGCCACCGTCCACATGCGTCCCGCACACCCAATGTGGCATTTTGACCCACCCAGTGCAGCGTTCCGTGGCCCCACAGGGAGCCCCACCGAAGGCCCGAGTGGGACCGTCCGCAAGCGTCCCGAAACACCTATTGCAGCATTTTCATTTACCCAGTCCAGAATTTCGTGGCCCCGTAGGGAATTCCACCGAAGGCCCCGGTGCCACCTTCCGCATGCGTCCTGCAAACCCAACGTGGCATTTTTACACACCCAATTTAGCTTTTCGTGGTCCCTTAGTTAGCTCCACCGAAGCCCCCCTGTGGGACCGTCCGCATGCGCCCCAGAAACCCAATGTAGCATTTTCACCCACCCAGTACAGCGCTTCGTGGCCCCATAGGGAGTTCCACCGAAGCCTCCAGTGGGTCCGTCCGCATGCGCTCGGAAGCCCAATTTGGCATTTCCACTTACCCTGTACAGCGCTTCGTGGCCCCATAGGGAGCTCCACCGAAGCCCCCAGTGGGACCGTCCGCGTGCGTCCCGGAAACTTGATTTGACACACCACTCACCCAGAACAGCGCTCCCCCCCACCCAGTGCAGCGCTTCGTGGCCCCATAGGGAGTTTCACCGAAAAAGATGTTCACAATTGCGGTAGCCACAATTGCATATGGTTGGGTGCTTCGCCGGGGTAATTTTCCTCCTCCCCATTGCGGCTGCTTCTTTGTGCCGGACGGGGGTCGTCGGGTTCGCAGCTTAATACCTGCCTGTGTGTTTTCCTCTTCTTCCTCTTTGTCCTCATCAGCTCTGGATTGCACCGTAGTTCGCGAGTCCCCGGTGCGTGCAACGGCTCGCCTATGGCAGGTTGGCCTGAGCGCCGCTCCTGGTGTCTTGGAGTTCTCCTCTGCTTCCTCCCTTCTTCTCCTCTCGCCGGTGCTTCTTAATGCTTGGATAATGTTGTTGTAAATAAGCAGCTGGTCAGCTTTTGCCGCGTTTCACCACGGAGTGCTCGGGTGACTCGAGTGGTGTTGCGGTCGTCCCCTCCCTCTTGCCCCTCCTCCGTCTCCCAAAATATCGCGCTGGATAAAGACATTGTATCTCAGCAGCCCATAACAATTGCTCTTTTACGGCGGTGACCCTCTACTTCCCACCTTGGTCAGTCGGGGTTTGCATTTGAGTGTTGCAGATGATGCCAGTCGAGAGCAGTGAATGATTGGTTACGGACGCATTGACCGGCGGGTCGCGGGCTGGTCGCGGGCGTTGTTCCAGGGTTGATGGAGAAGCACATCCGCGAAGCCGACGCGCATTCGACCCCCCGATCCTAGTTCTATTGCGGACCCTGAGGGGGCGTAGGGCCGTCCGCTTTCCCAGTATGATCAAGAGCAGTTGCTTGTGATTTCTGCGCAGCGCTCAGGTGACCCGATACCCTCCGGAAAGGTCTGGCTATTGTGGGAGGGTGAGGGGTGAGGGGAAGTCCCTCCTCCATCCATCCCTCCCCTCTTCTCCCTCCCTCCTCCCAGGAGGGGAAAAAAACACAGACACAATTAACCGTCGAGTCCTATGATAATGTGGGAAACAATGGGAGGGGGGGAAGACGAAAACCCAAAAAATGTTTAAGAATATTGGGAATCCTGTTGTTGTGTCTATTTATTGGTGTGCCCCATGGCCTCTTCAGTGAGGGGAGTCCCTCCTCCCTCCATCCCCTCCCCTCTTCCCCCCTCCCTCCCCCCTGGCCGCTCGACCGTCCACCTGCATCTCTGATCCTCGTGTCTGCGAGGTGTCCCACTAGGGGGTTATATCTGTTCGTCCCCGCTCGGATTGGCACGCGAGCGTGCATCGGCCCCTTGTGGAGAGTGCCTCGATCCTGAATTGGCTGCTTTCGACTCCAGATCGGGCCGCCGATCGTCTAGCTTCCTCTTCCCATGTGATCAGAAGGGTGGGGGGGGAAGAGCAGGAGCATGTGGCGCAGATCCTTGCCAGGCGGACGCAGCCACCACTCTGAGCGCGCTGGAGAGCGCCGTGGAGGCTCTCGAGCGGGTGGTGAACTTGAGCGACGCAGAGATTGACTGGTCTCGTCGGGCAGAACCCCATGTAAGCGCCACGATCCCGCACCTCCCCAACGACACCATCCCCACCTTTCTCCGCCCTGTGCCTCCTTAGGGGAACAGAAAGTGACATAAACATAAAAACTCAGAGGTCCGCGCGGATTTCTCGGATCGGCGCTGGGGCCCCCCCGGCGGCGCCTCCGGCGCCGCCCGTGGCGCGCTCCGCGCGCCAGGGAGGGGGGGTCCAGCGCCGTTCCGAGAAATCCGCGCGCGGACTTGCGAGTTGTTACGTTTATGCCACGTTTTGTTCCCCTACTCCTGGCTCATGCCCCTGCCCGTCCCCTTGACCATCCGACTTCCCCCCCACCCCTCTTTCCCCTGGGCGGGCCGCCGGGCGGGCGGGGCGCTCGCGGCGGCAGCTCCCCCTCCCCCTTGCCTTGGCATCGCTTGGACGCGTGCATTTTTCCTTCGGCGAGGGCCATGGAGGAGCATCCTTGATCATTTGGCGACAAAGCCACGCACGAAACCGGAAAAACACACAGGGAATGGACCTCCGAGCGATGGCGAGTTGCCCTCCCTCCCGACGGTGCCGCGCGGGGGGGGCCGACGCCACGCCCCGCAGAGGGGGCGCGGGGCCACCCGGGGGCTCTCAGCGAAGGCCTCGACCGGGACCCCCCGACCGCCTCTGCTTTGGTCTTTGGCTCCCCCCCCCCCCGCCCGCCCTCCTCCTGGCATCGCTCGGACGTGTGCATTTCTGCTCGGCGAGAACCATCGAGGACGATCCTGGACCATCGAGCAAAAAAAAAACGCACGAAACCGAAACATGCACGGGAAATGGACGTCCGAGCGATGGCGAGTCCTCCTCTCTCCTCTCCGCAAGGGGCCCCCACGAAGGCGCGGAGGGATTCGCGTTGCGCGGTCCTCGTTCCTCCCTCCCCCTCCTCCTCGTCCTCCTTTCTCCCTCTGGGGGTGGGGGGGGGGACACGGGAGCGCGAAGTGATTCGCGCTTCGCGGAGCGCGAAGCGCGCGGAGCTGGGAGCCCCAGTCCCCGCCCCGGATCCTCCGAGGCTCCCCTTGTGCTCCTCTGCCTCTTGAGCATCCTCCTCGGTCTGCTGGGCCCCAGGGGCGCTGGCCGGGAACTTTACGCGCAGGAGGGAGATGCCCATGGAAGGAAGAGGGCACGATGACCACGGCCGAGGTGTCGCGAGACCTCGTCGATGCAGATCTTGTTCGTGGTCTGTGCTGGCCGTCGCGGATTCGCGAGATGATCCACGAATTGGCGTTGATCAAAGTCGACACCGACGTTCTCAGTTTCAGTCTTGGTCACAGTCATCGTTCTCTTCCCTCCATATCCAGGTCACCCCCAGGGGGGCGAAGACAATCGTGCTTCGCGCGTTGCGACGTGGGCCAGGGAGCTGCACTTGTCCGGGGGGCCTCGCGGGGGCACCAGGATAACCGCTTATCGCTTGGAGGGTGAAAGTGGGGGTCGGCCGCAGGGTCCCGGCAATGGTGTCTTTATGGGCCATGAATGGGCGATACATCCTCGATTGCTGTGTTCGGCGGGGGTGTCAATTGAAGCTCCCCGCCTGCACCCATGCGCGAGACTTGAGGGGAAACGAAGCAGGGGGCGGGGGGCCCGGGAAAGGCGACGAAGGCAACGTGCGCTGAGGGCGCAAAAAGACAAGGCTGGAATAAACGAAAGCGTTGACGTGAGTGTCAAAATCTGCCCAGCCAGTCTGACATGCGGAACACTGCGCCTCAGTTCTGGGGATCTTGAAGCCAGTGAAAAATGTGAATTCACATTATCGGGAAAAGCAAATTGTGAATTCACATTTTGGGAAGAAGGAAAATGTGAATTCACATTTTGGGAAAAAGGAAAAAGTGAATTCACAGTTTGGAATGTTGTGTAGGAATCTTTATGAAGAGGCCAGAATGTGAATTCAAATTTTGGGAAAAAGGAAAATGTGAATTCACATTTAGGGAAAAAGGACAATTTGAATTCACATTTTGGGAGAATCGCGGGACCCATTTCAAATCTGTCTTGGGGGTCGATAGCTCGTCGTTTGGGAACATGCGCGATCAGCAATCGCACTATCAAGACATACTTGCACTCCACTTCGCATCCCCACGCGCAGTATGCAAGAACGCCCGCACGCATGAACGATAATGGATGGACGGCGCGTGTGCCCGCGCAGGCACGCGGGCACGAACGACTGGCCCTCCATTGCCGCCAACATTGGGTGCCAATCATTCCCGATCACATACATGAGCGATACATTGAGCATACATGGGCCATTCAGCCCCCATTGAAGACCCCCTGTTGCAGACCATCGCGGGGCGCGATGAATGAAGCTTGATGACCCAGGACAGAGGGGAGCATCCTCATCCGCATCATTGGCATTGTTGCTCGTCACGCGGGACCATCCGTTCAGGCTTTTTGACATCAAGCGACAAACCTGGCATCGCTCGGACGTGTGCGTTTTTCCTCGGCGAGGACAGTCGAGGAGCCTGAACAGGTGCGCGAGGAATGGACGTCCGAGCGATGGCGAGAAAAGAAAAACAAGAACGGCAACACTCACGAGCCTGCAGTGGAGGGTTTCTCCGAAGGGCTTTGGCGACCCGTCCTCCTCCTCCTCCTCCTCCTCCTCCTTCATCTCTTCCTCCCCCCTCCTCCACCACCACCTCCTCCTCCTCCTCCTCCTCCTCCTCCTCCTCCTCCTCCTCCTCGGGTCGCCTATGGCCCCGGGGGAATCTGGGCAGCCCGCAGCCTGGGCTGTGGAGGAGCGGGAGCCGCTCGAGGAGGTGCTGGGAGACGATCCGCGCGGCACGAGGGGGGGCCTCGGGAGCAACAGACGACGTCAGCCTGATCGGCGGCGAGCCCAGGGGGGGAGCGAGAAGGAGCGGGCCTTCTCCGAACAGAAGGAACGAGAAGGAACGAGAAGGGGGGAGTGAGAAGGAGCGGGCCTTCTCCGAACAGAAGGAACGAGAAGGAACGAGAAGGGGCCCAGGAGCGAGCCCAGGGGGGAGTGAGAAGGAACGAGAAGGCTCGGACGTTCCCTGGCCTTCCCCGAAGCTGTCTAAGCCTTCCCCGAAGACACCCAACACCTCTCGGAAGGCGCGCGGGCTTCTGAGGAGCCCCGCCGCCCTCCAAGGAGGCCTTCTCTTCCTCGCTCTCCCCCCTATCGCTCGCCGCCGAAGGACCTCCACCGATCGATTCCCGGCCCACCTCCTACTCCCGACGGAGACTATCTCTAAGCCGCCTTCTGAGAAGGCCGTCTCCTTCTCACTTCCCCTCCCCCTGGCTCGCCGCCGAAGAACCTCCATCGATCGACTCCCGACTCACCTCCCTGTCCCGACAGACCGACAGAGACTATCTCTAAGCCGCCTTCTGAGAAGGCCGTCTCCTTCTCTTTTCCCCTCCTCCTGGCTCGCCGCCGAAGAACCTCCATCGATCGACTCCCGACGCACCTTCCTGTCCCGACAGACCGACAGAGACTATCTCTAAGCCGCCTTCTGAGAAGGCCGTCTCCTTCTCTTTTCCCGTCCCCCTGGCTCGCCGCCGAAGAACCTCCATCGATTCACTCCCGACTCACCTCCCTCTCCCCCTCCTCCTCCTCCTGCACCACAGTCTTAGGCTTAAGTCGGGCCTGTCCCTCTTAGGAGGAATATTCAAGAATAGAAACAATAGTCTGTTTTTTTGTTTGTTGATTTTCTATGTTTGAGCATTTGTGGTGCATTTTGCTAGTATGCTTTTCAGTTCTTCACCCCAAATCCCCCTGTAGGGCGACAGGCCCGACCTAACCGTAGGTGGACCAAGAGGTTAACCTCCCACGCCTTCAAAGGATCGTCTTAGCGGGAGCAATTCGCCCTTGACCCTTGGCTCAGCTCCTCTTCCGTGCGACCACGGGTACCAAAGTGCAGAACTGAAAAGGATGTGGCCACCGCTCGAACTCGAAGGCGACACCACCCCGTCTCCTGCCAGCCCGTCCAACGAACACCGCGGGCAGTCGTCGGCAGGGCCGTCGGGAAATGGGCATGGTGGCGACACCTTCAAATCCTGACCACGTCTGGCCATTGCTTGACACCTTTGCGCTTCTCGCCCTTGTCAATCTGACTGAGCGTGAGCTTGCCTTCCTTGGAACATCCAGGGACGCACGGCCGAGCCAAACGAACGAAACACCTTGGGCCGCACAAGCCCTGCAGAACCAAACAGCTCGGTAGTTGTGTCGATCCTGCGGGTGCTGTGAATTTGGAAGGGGCTCTTCTGGCACCCCAAGCTGCACAATTCTACCGGGCTTGTTTTGCGGATGATTCTCAGGCATGCTAGAACATTGAAAACCCCGTGCCGCCCTGCTCCAAAGCATGAGAGGTTTCCCTGGCCGCCACAACTCAAGCTTCGGCCTGGATCGTGGCACTTACTTTGCCGAACGGCCAGGTCGTTTTTTAGAGTCATGCCATAAAGCCTAGGCTTGCTTGGCCACATCTAGGCCTATGCAAATGAGTCTTTTCTGCACCCTCCAGGCCAGCTGGTCTGCTTCTCCGACTTGAAACACCAAAGAGAAGGGGGGGCCGGCTCCTGCGCCGAGAGCTTCGCAAGTGCATCTGCCTCTTGGTTGGCATGCTAGCGCTCTGGTGCAATCGTGATTCCGACCTCCGCCTCCCCAAGTGGCTCTGCTGTCCCTTTTTGGGTGTACCGGCCTATCCGCGACCTCAGGTTTGCGCTGAGACTTGCAGTCGGAACTTCTGGCACTCCCACCAGGGAGAGAAATTGCTCAGGCAGGGCTGTCCTCCTCCCGTCGCGTCGGCACGGAGGCACCTCTGTGGCGTCGTGTCGTGTCGGGCTGGGCTGTCCTATGAACGTTGCCGAAACTCTTGCCCATCGTGTCGTGTCGGGCTGTCTTACGAAGTTCCTGCCAATACTGTCTCCGCGCTGCCCGCTCTGAGGGTTTGCTCCCTCCTCTCTTTTCCTTCATTCCCTCTTGCCCCCCACCTCCCCCCCCCTCCCTCCCCGTCAAAGGGTCCTCCCCCATCTACGTCCTTCGCGGGCTACTCTGCAAAAGGGGAAATTCATCCGATTCCTCCTCCGTGCTGCCCGCTCTGAGCGTTTGCCCCCTCCTCTCTCTTCCTTCGTTCCCTCTTGCCCCTGCCCCTGCCCCTGCCCCCCTCTGCCCCTTCTCCTTGCTTTGCCCTTGCTCTGTCTTTCCCATGTCCCTGGAGGAGGAGGCGGCGACGGCGGCGGCGTCGGCGACGACGACGACGACGATTCGTTGCACTTGGCGCAACTTTTGCGCACGATGAGTAATGCTCCCGACCGGCTCGGCAGGTCAGCCGGCGGGGGGGGAAACGGGTGCCGCGACTCTCTCCTCCCAGGGGCCGCGCGCCATGGTTGGGGCCCCCCGGCCAGTCTCTGCCCAGCAGGGCTCAGTCGTCCCGGCCGGCGGGATACATTTCCCGAGCCGCGGAGACCGCCGCCGACGCCCGTAGGCTTGGCGGCGCCACGGAGCGGCAGTCCGAATGGAGCGCGTCGCTTCCCCGGACGGCGCCCACACGCCGGCGCGGGCCCGGGGCCCCCCGTGGCGCGACCACGTGCTGAAAAACGCGCTAGCGTTGCAAGGCCAGTTCCACAGGAAGTTGGCCACCGCAGCGGCCCCAAGGCACGTGCAGTGGTTTCCTCCGCCTTGCGTCCCCGGCCTGGTTCAGGGCGAACGCTGTTACAAGTTGTATCGTCCTATTCCACCGGGTACAACGTAGCGCGTGTTTTTTTTTTTTTTTTTTTTTTTTTGTGAAGCGTCCGCCAGGCGCGTTGCACTGCGCAGACAGCCGTTTCGGGAACGGTTCGCGGCAGTTTTCCCCAGCACGGAGGCGCCGAGACAAAGGTGGGCAAACTTCCAGGCGAGCCAACGCGGATCGCCAGCGAGCGTGGATCAGGAAGCCTTGTTGCGGGAGGGTTCCAGACGTGCCGCCGTGGAAACAGTCCGTGGATCTTGGAAAGCAGTGCTCACCGCCTTTCGCGCTTGGGCTGAGTTTTGTGGGTCCTCATGGCTGCCGCAGTTTTCCCGTGACTGCTGACAGTGCCAGTAATTTCGCGATGTTCGTCCCGCGTGGATTTACATTGCGAAATTCGTTGCAACACCTGCGGTGGGCACGCAAGTTTGGACTTACCAAACCCCTGGCGTGATGGAGGCGCGCATCAGTTGGTCAAAAGGGCGGTCCGCAGGGATGCCGGCCAAGCTCGCACACGGCCAGCTTTGTACAGGCATGTCGTGAAACGAGTGATCTTTGCAGCAAAAGTTGAAGGGAAGCATGCACTGGCTGATGCTGTTGCCGCGGCACGTGGCTTCCTTTTCCGCGCTGGAGCGGATCTTGTGCCCTTGATGCATGGCCCGTTCTTCTCTGGTCGCCACTCCGGCGTTGAATTTACAGAGCAACGCGCCATCGTTGCCTTGGCGAACAGGAAGAACTCTACAGCTCCTGTTACTATCCGCAGGGACTGTGCGTGTAGAGCTCAGGGGGCGCGCGTGCGCCCCGTGCGCCAGCTAGACGCAGCAGCGCGGGGGGCCAGGTCGCGCGGGCAACCCAGAGTTTCTCTTTCGGGTACCACGCCTTTCCCTGGGAGACGCGGGCGCACGCCGCGCGGTGCGGCGTGAAGAACGCAGCGGCGCACGAGCTCCGGCGCGGAACTGCTCTGGACGTGGCCGCTCAAGGGTGTCAGTTGCGGGGGCTGTTGCAGGCGGGCGGTTGGCGATCGGCGGTTTTATGGCGCGCGCGAAGCCGCGCGAGCTCGAAACGGGCGCGCGCGCAGCTCGTTGCTGATCGCAGCGACAGCGAGCCCGAACCCGAGCGCACGCAAGTTTCGGGAGCCACGTGAGGTGTTCGCGCCTAGCCCGCACACGCGGGGTGCAGACCCTGGGTTGGCCTGGGGGACCTGCACCAAGCATCGCCCTGCGTTGGTCAGCTCGTCGATTGTCAGCAGCCGCGGGCTGCAGGCGAGCGGCGCGCCGCAGCCCTCGCCCCCAAGCTCGAGTTCCGTTTTCCGCAGACAGCGAGGCTAGCCCGGCATGTCACGGAAAACGCAGGGAGAGGAGCAGGGCGGGGGGCGCCGCGCAGCTTTGATTCAGGACCGGAAGGTTCAGGTTGGCTTGGGCCCCATCCGTGGGTTCGCCCGCCTACCCGCCCAGGGTGTAGACCGTGGGCATGGCTGAAACACTGGGCAACTGGGATGCCATTCCCCAGTTGTGCCCGCAGCACTCCTGGGTTGCAGGCCCTGGGCTGGGCTGGTGCACCTACACCAAGCATCGCCCCGCGTCGGTGCAGAGGTCAGCTCGTCCGTTGTCAGCAGTTGCGGGCGGCAGGCGAGCGGCGCGTCGCCGCCGGCGCCCCTGGCGCTGCAGGCCCCCCGCCCTCAAGTTCGAGTTCCGTTTTCCGCTGACAGCGAGGCTAGCATGGCATGTCGCGGAAATCGCAGGGAGTGGAGCGGGGCAGGGGCTGCCGCGCAGCTTTGGCCCAGGACCGGAAGGTCCAGGTTGGCTTGGGCCCCATCCGTGGGTTTGCCCGCCCACCCGCCCAGGGTGTAGACCGTGAGCACGGGTGGCAACGCTGGGCAACTGGGATGCCATTCCCCAGTTGTGCCCGCAGCTCTCCTGGGTTGCAAACCTTGGGCTGGGCTGGTGGACCTACACCAAGCATCGCCCCGCGTCGGTGCAGAGGTCAGCTTGTCTTTTGTCAGCAGCCGCGGGCGGCACGCGAGCGGTGCATCGCCGCCTGCGCCCCTTGCGCTACAGGCCCCCCGCCCCAAAGCTCGAGTTTTCCGCAAGCAGCGAGGCTAGCATGGCATGTCACGGAAATCGCAGGGAGCGGAGCGGGGCGGGGGTTGCCGCGCAGTTTTGGCTTAGTACCGGAAGGTCCAGGTTGGCTTGGGCCCCATCCGTGGGTTCGCCCGCCCACCCGCCCAGGGTGTAGACCGTGGGCATGGTTGGAAACGCTGGGCAACTGGGATGCCATTCCCCAGTTGTGCCCGCAGCTCTCCTGGGTTGCAGGCCCTGGGCTGGGCTGGTGGATTTGCACCAAGCATCACCCCGCGTCGGTGCAAAGGTCAGCTCGTCCTCTGTCAGCAGCCGCGGGCGGCAGGCGAGCGGCGCATCGCCGCCGGCGCCCCTGGCGCTGCAGGCCCCCTTGTCCCCCAGCTCGAGCACCGTTTTCCAGGGCTCCCAAATTCTGAAGCTGGTTCGGAGGTTAGAACTTTTACTCGGCCCGTATGGCTGAGTTTCTGAGAGACGGCCGCCTCGACCCAGGCCTGGCTCTGTCATTCTGGAGGGATCGGGAGGGGACGTCGTTCGTGTCGCGGGAGAGCGGGGGGAGGCGGAAAGGGCACCCTTTTTAGGTACGTGCTTTCGGGCCCGAGAGTGGGCCCGCCACTGACCTCGGCGCCAGCAGGCCTGACCCCGATCGTCACAGGACCGCGGTCTGCGCGTACGCTGCGACGGCTCAGGTGAGCCACATCGGCAGATCATGTGTTGGTGCGGCCTATCTTTTTAGCCGGATTGGACTGGGATCCACTGCTTCTTCCGATGTCGTATCGTATCGTATCCTCTTCCTCATCCTCCCCTTCCTCTTCCTCCTCCTCCTCCTCCTCCACCTCCTCCTCCTCCTCCTCCTCCTCTTCCTCCCCCTCCCGACGGGGACTGTCTCTGGCGGCTGCGACCCGGGCCGCGGCGCGTCCATCCGCCGCTGGGGCAGAGGCGCCGAGATTGAGGAGGATGCGGCTTTTCGAGGTTCGGGAATCGAGGGGCGAGGATGGAGGATCGAGAGAGGGGAGGAGGAGAGGGGGGGGGCCCATGTTGATCCAATCGACCCGATTCGGTATCGATTTCGGCCGTCTCGGTCCGATCCGATTTCTGTATCCCAGCGATCCGATGCGACCCATTGCTTGCATGGCGCTGCTGTGGATCCTGGCGCAGCCGATCCGATGCGATTTTGATTCCGTGCCGATGCAGCCCAATTCGATCCCTATTTCGATTCGATCCGACATGCTGATTCGATTCAAGGGCCGACCTGCATTGTACCGTGATCGTCCTTGGGATGGTGTCCAGAACAGATGCCCTTCAAGAGTAGGCGCGGCCCTGGATCAGTGCGCCTCCTCCTCCTCCTCCTCCTCCTCCTCCTCTTCCTCCTCCTCCTCGTCGTCTCCCCTCCTCCTCCTCCTTCTTCCTCCCTCCTCATCTTACTCCTCTTCCACGTCCTCCTCCTCCTCCTCCTCTTTCTCCTCCTCCTCCTCCCCCTCCTCCTCCTCCTCCGCCTGTTCCCCGGGGGTGGGCCGCCCCGAGGGACCAGCTGTCGCAGACGCTGGCCGCGCTGGCGGCCACGGCGCCGGCGGTCGCGCAGATCCTGCTGCGGCACGGCTGGATTCCGCCGTCGGGAGGCGCGCGTAGCCGCCTCGCGGCTGGGCAAGCGGGGGGGATGGTATGTAGAAGCGCCTTTGACCCAAGGTGCCCCCGGGAGTTCCAAGGAGGCCCCCGCGGCCTCCAGCGGGCGGGGCCGGGACGAGGACGTGTCCGTTCCACAGCGTGCCGGGAACGTTCTGGGAAGATCGCAGGGGTTCTCGAGTTGTCCTCCCCCGAACTTACCCTCGTCCTGGCCTCGTCTTGCCCCAGGAGTTCCAAGGAACCCTCCTTGGCCTCCAGAGCACCCCTCACGAGGCGCAGCGGCGCCCCAGGGGCTCCAAGCTGGCGCGAGCAGCTGGGGGCACCTTGGGCCAGGGGCAATTCGAGGAACCCCCGACGGGGTGGGGGGGGCGAAGGGGATGGGCGCGAGGAGCGACGTCGACCCCTGCAGCGGTCGGGACCCATCCCCAGGGACCGGTTTTTCGTTTTCTGACGGCCCCAAAGCCCAGGGAGGGCCCCAGGAGGCCGAAAATAGCGAAAGACGTTCACGGGTGCACTCGGGAGCCTGGAGACGGGGGTCGGTGCAAACTGGGGTCAGCCAGAGCGCCGGATCTGGCAGGATCCAGCGGAGGCAGGGTTGCACTGACCCAGGCTAGCGAGCAGGATCCTGCAGGATCTGGCAGGATGCTGCAACGTCCGATTGGCCCAGATTTGCATTGACCCGGGTCAGTGCGTCACCGTAGCATGGGGAAAACCGATGCCCACATTTGGCCATGCCCCTGTTCAGGAGGATCTGGGCTCCTCAGACGCGAGCATAATAAACAACGTGGTGGATTGAAACGCCTAAGTCTTTGTTTAGCTATGCCCCCGCTTAGTTCAGATGCAACTCATGAAAGGTAAAATTCTGACTTTGCCCTGGCCCGGAAACCCAGCTTAATCCTCATTGATTCGGCTTAATCCCGCTCAATACGGCTTGATCCCGCTTACCCTGCAGCAGAATCCGGCGTAGTAGCCCCCCAATGGGGCTCAATTCTCCTTAATCTTTCCGACGAAGACCTTCCAGTAGTTCCCTCCTAAGTTTAGAGTGCCCCGAAAAGGGGGGTGCGCGCCAGAGGGAGGGAAGCGCTGGCGGAGGGGCCAGCTGGCCACCAGCAGGCCATCCCCCGAGGGTCCTCCCGGCTGGCCCCAGCAGGCCCTCTGAGTGGCGCGGAGCGGTCTCGACGCGCCAGTCTTGCGGCGCGGAGCGTCCCAGGGTGTTGAGACCGCCCCAGACTGTGTACTCGGGGGCGGGGGCGGGGCTCAAGAGACGGGGGTCAATGCAAACGGGGGTCAGTCAGAGCGCGGGACTTTGCAGGATGCTGAAGAGCCAAGGTCGCACTGACCGGGCTTGAATGCAGGATCCTGCACGATCTCGCAAGACCCTGCAAGGCCTGACTGACCCGGGTCTGGATTGGCCTGGGTCAGTAGATCCCCGACGGGAGGGGGGACGAAGAGGAGCGGGAGAGAGAGAGTCGGTACGGTCGAATTGGATACGGAGAGAAGTTGTACGAGCCCGACAGCAGTGCTTGTGCGTTCTGAGCGGGAGCTGCTGTCGGTGTCGCTGCGGACGGTGTTCATTCGAGGCAAACGAGGCGCCTGACAACATTTGTTGTTTGGCATTGTGCCCAATTTGTCTATACCGCGTTCGCGGAGGGGGATGGGCGTGTTGGAAGATCAGGAGCGAACGCAAGACGTACGAGTGCATGACTTTCCGTGGATTTCCAGAGAATGCATTGCGCGATCGCTCGTAACACGAGATTGGCCTCGAGGGTTGGGCGACGTATTTATGTACATTGTTGTGCGCATGTTCTTTCCCGACGAAAGTGGGCGTCTGGCCACCATCAAAACGCTGCGGTTGTTGCCCCCTGTTCGTCGTCAAGCACGTACGTCTTGTGTGGGCTCCCTAGAGGAGGACGACAATGGGCGTTGAAGTGGGAGGGAGATGGGCGGTTGATGAGTACGAGGATGGGCGCTGGAGGGGGGGGGGGAAGGACGTTAGAGGACAGTGGTTGGCGTTGAACGAGCAGCAGGAAGCGGAGGAGGTCGAGTTGTGGAAAACGACGAGGACTGGCATTGGAGGAGGAGGACGGGCGGTGCAGGAGGACGATTCATGATTGGCGGGGGGGGAGGGGGAAGAGGATGCAGCGGCGGCGGAGGACGGAGAGGACGGGCGCTGGATTCTAAAGACTGATCATCGTGTCGTGCGGCACGCGCGAGCGACCGCCGAACCGCCCCCTGGACGAAGGCCGAGGCCCCAACGCCAGACGGGGCCGAGTGCCTTCGTCACCTCACACACGTGCGCTGGACTCTCTGCCGCGGGCGGCGGCAAATCAGGACCATGATCAGGCCGCCCTCTCTCTGGGGGGCCCTTGGAGGCGCCTTGCACGAATTACGCACAGTGGGACCGAGGTATAAGATCGAGGTCGGTTCGGGGAGGGTCTCCCAGTATTCTCCGTGTTTGTTGGATGCTCGTTTGCATCCTGGGGAGGGCACCCTTGGAGGTTCTGTGTGTTTTGGCCGACGGAGGGTCTCATGCTCTTGACGGATGTTCTTCTGGCCTGGGTCCGACCCTACCTCCTTCCGCTTGGTCAGCGGGCGCGTCAAACGGCCACGCCGCCGCCCATTCCTCTGAGTCGAGAGGCGCGACCTGCAGCTCTGCAGCTCTCGTTCCAAGCCCTTCCCCCTCCCGAGCCCCACTGGATTTAAGTCGGGCCTGTCCCTCTACAGGAGGACTATTCAAACATAGTCCAACAATAGTATGGGGACGATGAGTACGTTCTGGGTTTTTTATTTTTCGTCCAAGCTCTGCCTGTAAGGGGGGCCATGCCTGACCTGTCTCCATTTCCGAATTATCCCTCCATTCGCGTTGTTCACGGCGTGCAGCAGGCGGCGAGCCCCATTCCTGCCCAGCAAAATGCTCCGAGTTCCGGTCAGCGTTTGTTCGCCCATCGCAGGTCGTGACGCAACGTGAGCATGCAAATGCAGCTCTGATTGGAAGCCAGGCGAAGGCTGGCAAACCCGTGGCTGCTAAAACGGAGCTCTGGGAAGCTGTTTTCTCTTCCAGGAAGCAGCCCCTTTACTATTTAGTGCGCTGAGCTTGCTTCTGGGAATGTGTTTCTGTTCTTCCGGGAAGACCGTTTTAACAGCCACGGATTTGCCAGCCTTCGCCCAGCTTCCGAGTTGTGCATCGTGACGTAAAGTGAACATGCAAATGCAGCTCTGACTGTCAAGATGGCATCTCACCCTGTGTTGGGAGAAAAGCGTTCGTTCGTTTTGTCAGACCTCCTCCTCATCCTCCTCCTTCTCCTCCTCCTCCTCCTCCTCATCATCATCATCATCATCATCATCAGCATCATCATCATCATCATCATCATCATCATCATCATCATCATCATCATCATCATCATCATCATCATCATCATCATCATCTCCG